GGTCATTGTATATAGGAGAGACAACGAGGTGGCTGGAACAGGCGGGAAAGCTGGACAGCAGGGGGAAGGGCAGCTGTAGGGGCTGTTAAACAGGGAGCAAGGGGGGGTGGGGGGGGTGTGCGTATAGAGGAGGAAGGATGAAGAAGGCTGGGAGAGGGAAGATAGAGAGGATAACCTAGGAGTAGGATATAACCGGAGCACCACCATCTTAAATACATTTCTAGAACTGGGATAACAACTCCACACAGAAATCTGAAATCTGGAAGCAACCAAAACTAACCCTAAAACTCTGAAAACAGCAAATAAGTACCCCTACAAGAAGGGGGAAGCAGAAAAGGAAGGAGGAGGGAGGCGGGCAGCATTCCCACCCTGTCAAAATTGCGCCCTAGGCTGCTGGGCCTAGGTTTTTCCTGAACCGGCCCTAATTTGGACGGTTGACCCGGTCTAGTGCTCTCGCTCGCACAGGAGTGTCTCGCACCCACGTCAGAAGGGTTTTTAGATAACCCGTTCAACAATCTAAGATGACAGCTATTCTTTTGAAATGCTTTAATCCTTCTGCTGCAACTTTCTAAAAGTTATGGATGCAATAATGCGTGCTATTTGTTTTCTAAATTTTTTTTCCCTTTTTTTGTTATTCTGAAGTCGTCAAAGAGGTAGCTTACTTCAGGGTATGCATTAGACCGTGAACTTTATTATACATACGCACCATTGTGTACTGTCCTTCATATAGATGCCCTTTGTTCCACCATTGTGTACTGTCCTTCATATAGATGCCAGATAAGCTTTATCTATGCAGCTGTTTGTCTCATTGTTCAGCTTACACAATTGATTTTCCTTTGTGCTGTAAAAAAGCAGATTCCTTGCAACTTATTTTACTCAGTTAATTTTGAATGTATAAATCAGGTTTGGAAAAACTGTTTTCTCTTAACTAATGTATTTTGCTTAACGCAAGCTTTTTGAACCTTGAAATTATTTTGTTTGTCACTATGTTTTCAGGCAGCTTGCCATGTCTAAACCTGGTTCTCCATTATTTGAAATTTATTTCACTTGTGATGATGAAGGCTATAAGCAGCAGGTATTTTCTCGAGAAAGATGACTGTTATTTATTTATTTATTAATTCTGTTGGATATAATCGTTATTGCTAGGGAAGGCATTCCTTTTGATTAATTAATTTGTAAACGTCAATGGAAGCTTAAAGAATATCATGCCATTTACATTTCCTGGCAAGTGGGAGGTCATAGTAATTTTATTACAAAACATCATTATGTCTATAAAAATGAGAAGTATTTATAGTTATGGTTTCTTTGCTGGAGTACTGCTTGTATAATACACTTTTATATTGATTGATCCGAGAAATGCATTTCAGGCAGTCTATTTGAAGCGAAATACTGGGCATAATGCAAACGCATCAAAAAAGTTTGCAAACAAATCAGCTCGGACCTTAAATGAAAATAATGGCTCTGCTGAAGTACCTACTGATATGTCTTCTAAAGATGTGAAAACTGTTGAAGAGGTTGATGATGATCCCGATTGGATTGATGGGCTGGCAGGCATCAAAAACATCTTGCAGGATGTTATCCCTGGTGTCAAGGTCAAAGTCTTTAAAGTGGTAGCACCGGGGAAGGTGGATGGAGATCTGATTTCTAAAGTTATTGAACGGATAGTAGAGGAAGATGAAGGCAGTGATGGAGAAATACAAGACTCTGAGGAAGAATATATTAAATCAGAAAGCGATATGGAAGAAATTAAGATGGTTGGTGGAGATCAAACTGATGATACAACTGAAGAGCAAAGTGAACTGTCTGTGAAATTTGTGGTAGGTACTCTTTTGGAAAATATAGCTGCTGACGTGCCTCCTAAAGACCTTGTTCGTGTGCCAGCTGAGTTAAAGATAAGGGACCATCTATCTTTTTCCTTTTCTGTCAAGCAAGAAGATTTGCAACATGAATCTGAGGCAGGACAGGCTTCACACAACAGAACTGTTTCCCATTCTTTACAAAAGAGTTCTGAGCATATTAGGTCTGATCTCTCTAAGGCCTTCATTGCTAAAGAGAAAACGCCTCTTAAGGTTTCTCATTTCCTCCATTAAGATTTAATGATTTTCTTTTCATTTTACCTATAATTTAAAACCTTGTGAAACATTTTTAATTGGAGCCAACGCTCTGAGACTGCAATATTAGACAATATTTTTCTAAGAACAGATAAACAAAATAAATTGGTACATTATCGATTGATATAAAAATAAATTTGAGTTAGCTCTAAATAAGTATAAAGGTAAAGTTTTAAGTTATATGTGATACCTATTGAGATATGGAAAGTTATAGATGATATTATTACACCTTGATTAACAAACATTCTCAATGGAATCCTTAAAACTAAGGTGATGTTATCTGATTGAGGATTTTTTTTGTACTTTTATTTAAGCATAACTGACGTGTTTAAGATTTTGTTACTTCAGGAGAATGACACTCATGAGTTATCCAATAAAGTTATGGTAGAAAGTTGTAGAACATAACAAAAAGCTAGATTACTATGAAAGAATGAATTTGGCTTCATGTCAAGATGATCCACTTAAATTGCAATTTTTTGTGTTAGGACAATTAATGTAATAGTATAGCAAGCAAAAAAAAAAAAAAAAAGATCTTCATATACTTTTGCTTAATCTTGAAATGAAACAATTAAATACTTTTGTTGAGCTTGAACAGATATATGATCGAGTCTTATGATAACTAATCTATTTTTAGGTTATCAAAAATATGTATGATAGAGCATTTGCTAGTATTACAAATAGTTGCCGAGTAATTAATGAATTTCAGGTATAGGAGGTTTACATCAATGATGAAGATTAAATCCTTATTAATTTTACATTAATTTACAACAACAACAACAAAACCTTTATCCCACTAAGTAGGGTCGGCTACATGAATCCTTTTTCTTCATTGCGTCATATTGAGTGTCATTTTTCATTTAGTTCTAATATTAAGATCATTTTTTAAACAATCTAGCCAAGTAATTTCTCAAAGCGAGGTGAATATATATATATATATATATACAAGAGATGTTCAAACTTTGATTAAAAGTTCAACAAATTTATAGTCAAACTGATTGCCTTGACGAGAGAAACCTAATGATGTCAAAATTGATCTAATCCAAGTCAAATTAAGCACAAATCAAGCCATTAAACCACTTTTGGAAGATTTTTAAGCATATTGGGGAGGTCAAATGAATGTTGAATCTGGCGAGATTTAGTCGAACCGAGCATCTCGATAAGATGAATCTAACCAGCCCAAGAATGCTCAATTCTGATATTGTTAAGGCACTCAAATGTCCATCAAACATCGTATGATTGAAGGAAGCTCTCCAGACCGTCTGATTAGAGTGGTTCATATTATTGTATTAATTGCACTTGAAACTCTATAAACAAAGACCCACCTCTCTCATGAGGGGGAGGAGAGCTTAAGGTTTGAGAAAAAACTTGAAGCTTTGAGAATGAGCTGAAGTCCAGCACCGCTCATGTCACCGTCGATTACCGTCGATCATCAGAAACCACCGTCGACCATCATCGACTACCGTAGACTAACTTCGACCACTATCGACCGCCGTCGACCACGACTTGTTGTTCTCCACCGATCGCTATCAGTAGCTGCCCGTTCTTACAACAAACTCATCCGTACGTCAACGTTGTAACTTGGGAATACAAATGGTTGCAACGGTATCTATTTATATATATATATATATATATACATACATACATACATACATACATACATACATATCCTTTTATTTATACATGAAAATGTGATTGTAAAATGATGAAGCAACAACAAGAAAAAAAAATGTGCGTGATCATCTTAGTGCGATTGTCCCCATGAGAACTTGTCTGTGCGATCTTCTTGCTCTAACAGCTCGAGTAGTGTGTTCGGGTTTGTGGAGGAAGGGTTACCTAGGAAAATGTCTAGGAAACACAAGTGAATATGACACTTTTGTCGATTCAAACACCTCATATGCGGGTGATTGACACGTGCGATCATTTTTGGTTTTTGTCTCCACATGCATTCAACTCTTCTCATCTATCACATACGTGATTTGACGTTTTGGGGTTTCTTTAGTGAATCGATTTAGCGGATTTTTAGCTGTTATTTTCCTTGCTACCTAGTCCAGAGTTCGCTTCACCTCCCTTTACATCTCTCTCACCTTCGAAAGACTTTTATGCCTCTCACGGTGTTGTTTGATTTCTTTTGTTGCTTTTTATTAAGGTTTCTTGTGCATTCCCTATTCCCTCGAAGTCCTTGTTCATTTGTGTCGTTGGAAGTCCCATCACGAAATTCATGCTGACGTTGACCCATGGTGGGTATGGTACTGGAAGTGGCGTGCACAATCCCGCATTCTGAGCCCTTGTCTTTGTCAGGTGACAAGTCCTGCACTACCTGACATGTCGGTCCACATCTCTCGTTAGATCGGGCCAAAAAAAATGCTCCCTTACGAGGGAGAGGGTCTTGTCTCTGCCAAAGTGACATTCTAATCCTCCGTTTTAGCTCCCTTGGACAATGGGTTCTTTTAGTGAACACCGAAGAATGCATAACTGACTCTAGTGGAACAAGTATCCATTCGTGCATTAATACTGCTGACTTATCTTGACACTGCTCCCATATGTCTTTGAAATCTTGTGTTTTATATAGATCCATTCGTGCGGTAATATTGCCATGCTGACTTCGTATTTCGCAGGTCTCATTCTACAAGCTGGTCGCATTGACAATACAGATCCTGGTATAAGGTTTATGGAATGTTGGATGTCACTTAGTGGCGGTATTCCATCCGGTAAGTTGTTGGTTATAACATCCCGAAAGTCCTGTAGTCATGGTTGCATTGGTAATGGTATCTCTCTTTCCACCTCGCTTCCTTTCAGGAGGACTAATGCTAGTGCTACCAGGTCATCTCTAACTGACTGCAGGAAAGTGGTCCAGGGGACTAATGCAGCCTCTGTATCGCTTCCGCCCTTCATATCCTTAGCAGGTAGCAAAACGATATATATCTCATCCTTCTTGAAAGAATTAGTGTTCTTGAAACCATCGTGTTGAGTCTTGAGGTTGAACTACCAAGGCCTACCCAACATAATGCGACAGACGTTCATAGGAACCACATCGCACCATACTTATTCTTGTAGATGGTCCCCAATGGAGAAATCAACTAGGCACTACTGATCCACACGCATCTTATTTCCCATCTTCAACCAACTTTTTCATGATGAGCGTGGATACCACGTTCTCGCAGGTCTTACTGTCGATGATCTCACTACAGACCTTCTCCTTGACGATGCACTTGGTGCAAAAAATGCTATGCCTTAACTAGGATTGGTCTTGTTCCTGCTTGAACTGCAATACTCTCCGAACAACTAACGCTTCTCCCTCGTCTGCATGAAGTTGAAGCTCTTCTTCTAGGCTCTCCTCTAACTCCTCATCGACTTCCTCGAAGGCGTCTTGATCTGTGAGTGTGAAGACTCAACTTTTTGGGCAGTTGGAGGCTATGTGACCTTAACCGTGGCACCTGAAACACTTCTCGACCGACACTGTATTGGAGGAACCACCTTTCTCCGGATTTTTTCCACTATGATCTACCTATTGGTTCCTTGTCTAATTTTCTTATTTCCTCTCGAGGTACCCTTGTTGGCTGTAGCAGTTGCAGACGACTGCATTCCTGAAGATGGTGGTCTGAAGGACGATTGTTGCCTGCTTTACTTTTGCTGCATCTCAACTTTCAAGGCTAGTGTCTGGATATCCCCTAACGTCCAACATGGTTTTAGTTGTACCACATTGCTAATGACGGGTTTCATACCTAAGATATCTGGCTATCGTGTGTTCCTTTGGCTCCGTCAGCTGCACTTCAGCTGCAAACAGTCGAATTGGGTTGTGAACTCCTTAAATGAAAGATCCTGTTGCTGACAATTCATGGGGTTTCTGGCCCCCGTGGAATCGAAGCAAACCTCCTTGGGGCGCATTCAGCGCCTGCGTCATCACGTGATTCTCTAATTGCATATCATCTCTTATTAATTTTATTCATTGAACTTAGGCTGCACCTCATATATATCCAGTTCTTTTGTATAATAGATCCAATTTTTACTCATGTAATTATAAGTTTCAAATTTCTTCTTTTAATTTTTGGTTTTTATACTTTACTAAATTTGATCTGTTAAATGTTTATTTTAGTAACTTTTTTATTGATTATATGACTTGTACTGTATCTTTATCAACTTTTTTATTGATTATATGACTTGACAATGGAAGATTGACGTCCTTTTGTTTTCAAGAATGTTGTATATATGACTTAGCACCTTTGTCTACTCTACTAACTTGTTTAGTATATTTGGATCTTGACAATGGAAGATTGACGTCCTTTTGTTTTCAAATATGTAAGTAATGTTAACAATGCCCTTGGAGTATTTGGAAGATAAATTTAGAAATTTTGAAGTATGGCATTCTTTTTCTTTTGCAATTTAAAAGCTTCTCAGATAATCTCTAGGCTCTTGGAACCCAAATTACTATTTGGGAATGTCACCCTTTCTTATAATATTTATTGTGCTAATAGATTTAATAACTTCTTTTTCTTGATTTAGTATGTCATAAAAGATGACTTAATTTTGTTGTTATTCTCGAAATTTGACCTACTATAGAATGGACTTGCTCATTTTAAAATATAATTTATTTTATGCAGGTACTTGTTGATATTGGAGAATTGATTAGTCTGTCTATAAATCATAATCAAAATCAATCATTGGTCGGGACAACACATTTTAATCGTATTGAGATACCGACAACTTCAGATCCTCTTATTGGTACTTATCCATTTGGACACAATATTTTGTTTTGTTATAAGAGATAGTATATAGTGAAAAAAAGATGTTTTAGCTCTCCTACGTGATTACCATGCTTAACAGGGTTGTACATTGGTGCTCATGGCATGTATACCTCTGAGCTTCTCCATTTGAAACGGACATTTGGTCAGTGGCATGAAGATGATGGTCCTAAGAAGCTCAAGAATTTGGAGTTTTATGAGTATGTTGAAGCCTATAAATTGGCCGGAGCTCTTTCTATACCTGCTGGACAGGTTTGCCATTATATTTCCTAGAATATCTATAATTTTGGTACATTTGATATATGTTTTAATATGTTCTTCAGTGGTTTGTTCGTCCAACAATTTTTTTATCTTTAACATTGTTATAGTGGTTGTGGAATTAAAAATCAAAAATGCTAGGGATGTGTGTTGAAGCTACTTCGAGGAAATTGGCGAAACTCTAGGTTGTGCTGTTGTGATGACCGTCTGATGAAGATGAACTCTTGATGCGAATATGCTCGATAAAGAATACCAGCTTTGTGCTGCTCACATGAATAAGCTGCTAGATCTCAGAAGAAGATAAACTGAAGAAATGCAATGGAGTTTGAGAATGAAGTATATGAGAGTGTGATTTTAGCTATCTTTCACTAATTTTTTACCCTAATTTAGGCTTTAAACACCTATGGCATAATTTTTGTTAGATACTTGTCTGAACGTGTTAGAGCTTATGTATTTGTCTGAGCTTGACACATGTTTTGAAGTATCAATGCATCATTAGTTATCTAGACATGAAATCTTGGATGATGCTTCATTAGTTATCTAGACATGAATTAGTTATCTAGACATGAATCTTGATGCTTCATTAGTTATCTAGACATGAATCTTGGATGATGCTTCATTAGTTATCTAGACATGAAATCTATATCTTTCTTGTTTAATATCTGCATATACTGTGGAATTGCAAATGGAATATCACCCACCTCAATAGTAGTCATTTATCATTTAAGAATTTAAAATACCATAAAAAAATCTATTGCAAGAGTTAATTATCTTCATTTTATGTAACATTTTGCAAAATAATCCAAAAAAATGTAAATTTCATGGTTTTGCACTGTTGCCGTAGGTTGTTTTCCGGGCAAAGGTTGGCAAGAAAAATCTACTTCCTCATAAGGGGATAATTCCTGAAGAATTTGGCGTGGTAACCTACCCAGAAAATTTGTGTGGAAACATCTATTGCAGCAATTCTTGCATCAGTTCGTGACTTGAATTTTTTTTAATAGATTGCTAGATACAGGGCACAAGGAAGGCTTGCCGATCCGGGGTTTCAAAATCCTCGGTGGGTCGATGGAGAGCTCGTTATTCTTGACGGGAAGGTTCGTTCGATCTCTCGATAAACATAATCACCAGCCACCCATTTTCTTCATTTCTTTCTTTGATTTTTTCTTGTAATCTGGCATGTTATTGGATGGGTTAGATGGTATTAATGTAAATATCAATGTTTAGGCTTTAGATCCGTAAATAGATAGGAATTGTGGGGAATGTATGTCAATCTTCCTAAAATTTTTTTCCATCATTATTTTAACAGAACATCAGAGGCCCTATTATTGGATTGGTTTACTGGGCTCCTGAACAGCATTTCTTGGTATTCTTCAACCGATTAAGGCTTCCAGACTAGATCATTTCTGGAAACCAAAGAGAAACAGCCTGCTCATCTCAAGTTTGAAGGTAATTTGTTTCTTCCCAGTTTTCCTGTTGGGAATGCAATATGATTATTCAAACTATGATGATTGTTGAAACGTTTAAAATAACGATTCGTAGTCGCTAATTGCGTAACTTCTCTGACATTGACAGTGACGTGTTTCGGCTCGCCGAATGAGGATAGTTTGTGCTAAAATAAAGTGTTATAAATGTATTTACATATCCGATACCTAAGCATTCATATTTACATGCATACCACTCAAATATTTAACATCAAATAAAAAATACCACGATCACTATCTTTTAAGTGAAATACGTATTTTCATATGTTGGTTCATGACACCAAGTTGTTATAAATGTAAACTGCAAACTTTATATATTAAATTTACATAAGAATTGCGCGGTATACATGTAAACTTCCCTAAATTTGGTTTTTCAGCTGAATTGAAATTTGCTTCTTAAGTTCGAGATGCGGATTCGCAATAACAACTCTTAAACTAGACTGTATCTTCTCTAGATCTTCCGGCGGTTTTTTCCCCTTCTATGCAGTCATTCTCGGATCTTTTCAGGTATAAATGACTTCTTCTATGCACAATGTTTACTCGATTGCTCAGAGATACTCTTCCAAACAACTTATGTCATGAAATGTAAAGTAATCTTACTGTATTTGATCATAATATTTAGAGAAATTCTTTACTTTTTGCTTTAAATATTTACATATATACCACTCAATTCCTACATATGTACATATTAAACACTTAGAACTTCAATCTTTACAATATGCCGCTTCGCTTTTGCATGAATAGGTGTATTTCGCTTTTTAGATGTCAAAATTCTGATGTTTTTGTTGTGATATCAAAGAAATTGGGTGGTATAAATATAAAAAAGTAAAATTTAGGTGTTAGATATGTAAATATATAGCAATTTTGTGGTATGTATGTAAATGCCCCTTATTATTAATGTTATTCGTTATTATTGTTTTTAAAATCCATCTAGTGCATTGGAATCTTTATGCATGTTTGATTAGGCAACAGATTGAAGGGTGTTTGTTCTGTTTTTTTATCTTGTCAGATGTCAGCATTATTACATATTTAAGGTGTATGTAAATTTTCATATTTAATGTTGTTTTTATTCACGAGCAACTCATTTTCGGCTCGTGAAGCAGGTAAGATGAACACGAATAAATTTTTCTGTGCGCGTAGAGAGAGAGAGAGAGAGAGAGAGCTAAATTTGAATAATGATTGATTATTCAATGTAATATTTTTAAGGTCATTTTAGCTATTATTTGTATATAATCCCTTTTGAGAATACAACATAAGATCGTATCGCTTTTCTAATACGAGAAAATATTGTTAGAATGATATTTTCTTTTACTAAATCACGAACTTTTATATCGAACGGGTTTTAGCGTTAAATTCATAAAATATTTAAAATTTAACTCCCAAAGTACTCTAACACGTAAAAGATATCATGCCTTAATCTTTTATTTTACGAGAAAATATTATGTCTGGTAAGTCGGATGCTCGGTCGACGGCGTGGATCGTATCGTATCGATGGATGTAATAATTGATCATATGTAACAGTTTCCTCAGGGAGCGTGCATAAAAAGTAGCACTAATTATCTCATTTTAATTGTTAAATAATATGCCGGGTAAATATGAAATTCATAAGAATTGTGTGCTATGTACGTGAAATTCCCTAAAAAAATTTGGTGTTAGAAAAATAAATATTAATATTTACTTGTGCTATATGTAAAAAATAGATATTTAGGATGGTATATATATAAATACCAAATATTTTAATTATCATGGCAGATTCAAATTTTAAGCCCGATAAAGCATAGCAACTTCGGCATTTTGCACCATAAATCCTTAGTTTTTGGGACATTTACATACATATAACATAATTAATATTTATTTTGATATCTTCTAACACCAAAAAATTTATATTTATATTTATAATACTTTAGATGAAAATGTATATTTCACTTTAAAATTAGATAGGGATGATTTTTTACATCATATTAAAGATTTATAATATATATATATAAAGATGTAAAAATTGCGTGATATGTAGGCAAAAACATAATTTCAAGGAGAAAAGATCCCGTGTTATGATGTTGGATGATCATACTCGACAGAAGGAGATGATGGGATTTTGACTGAATTGTGACGTAGCTGATATTAAGTGAGTTAAAGGTAACCAAAAATCCTTTTTTACAATGTTTGTTGTCTCTTGTAGTGACATTCGTTCATTGGTATATTGACTTCCATGAGACCTCATGCATGCAAAAAAAACTGTAATTAATTACTTATGTTAACAATTTCAACTTTTGTTATGACTAATGAATTGTCTTTTGAATTATTCAAGAAAGATGAGTTCTAGGATTACAAGGACCTCTCGATGAGTGTTTTGCCATTGCGAACTACAGACTTCCCTACTGACTTCACGACATACATATAACTTCAGGAGACAGTTCTACTAGTGTCTGCGAGGCATCACAGAGAAGTGTGACTTCTTCTGGTGGGCAGACAGTTTGACAGATTCTACTGCCGATAGTGATCGGGGTTGGATGATATCCCTAGATGACGATGTACCTCGTGACATACGTTCTCTCTGTATTTTAAAATTAATATTATCATTATTTTAATAGTAATTTTAATAAATTTTTTCTTTTTTTTGGCAAACTTGATACTCACTGTTAAATGAGGTATGTATCTTAATTTTTGTACTGTTCTGAAGCGGTTTTTCGCTTCTTACATATCAAATATATTGTTATGACAGTTATGTTGTAAACAACATTACTGCACAGGGGCAAAATGATCATTTATCTAGAAAATTGCAAGACAACAATTTTCCAACAACACCAACCAAACAGTCAACTAGCTTATCTGGATCAACTACTGATTAACAATTTATTAATAAGATGCAGCTGCCCCATAGAAACCCTTTATCTCTCGCAAGTCTTCTCTCTGCTTTTGATTATAATTTGATTCGAATAAGATGACTTAAATCGACCCCTTTAAAACGAAATAGTGAGACTGTTATTTCAAACCTTTGTCGTCGTTTCCAATATTATTTATTAGTATTTACCTTTTTTTTAGAGTTATTGCATGATTCTTTTTGAGGTTCATAAATCACTCGAGCTCATGCTTGCTATCGACCTATCAGAAAGATGAAAAAAACAAGAACTAAGTGATCATTGTCATGCATATGTAAGATATATATATATAAAGATGTAAAAATTGCGTGATATGTAGGCAAAAACATAATTTCAAGGAGAAAAGATCCCGTGTTATGATGTTGGATGATCATACTCGACAGAAGGAGATGATGGGATTTTGACTGAATTGTGACGTACAAAGATCTCCAAAACTCCTATCTTGCTCTTTCGGCTCCAACGCCACCTGAAAAACCAACCACCAATCTTTCTCTTTTGGTGGCGACGGGATTGCAACGTACGAGAAACTGCGTCGAAGACAATGACAAAATCACAACTTACAAAGATATCTGAAACTCTCGTCTTTCTCTTCCTTCCTTCGGCCTAACGGTGGGTGTTAATTTTGTTTTTATTCTAGTGTTTTGAGGGGTGATATATATAATATCAAAAGTTTATGAGTGTTTATGCATGTAAATCCCCCTTTTATAAATTTAAGCACGTGTACAAATTGAAGAATCTTTCCACATGAAAGCCATCCCAGTGATTCAAATTTCCAACTATGAACATGTAGTGCAATTAATATATTGCCGAAAGTAACCTCCCTTAGTCCGAGTCAACTCCAGTAGGGCTGTTAAATTCAATCCAAAATTTTAGCCCGTTGTTGTTCGACTCATTTATTTCGATCTGATCTGAATCAGAGCTAAAATTTGAATTAATTTTCGAGCGATTAATGATCTTCGAGTTAAATTAGCTAAATTCACAACCCTGACAACACTAATTCGATCCGATTTCGAGTCGGTTTGGAGTAGGCTTGAGACCGGCTCGAAAAAATTTGGTGTAAAAATTTGGCTCATAAATTCGAATCAATTTCTGAGCCATATGGAGCTAAATTCACAGCATTCACTCCAAATAAAATAAATAAATGAAAACCAGACCTATATAAAAAACGCCATGGTGGGTTCGACCCACCCAATCTTCTCCATCTCTACCCCTGCTTCTCTCTGTCTTCACAGTTTCTTCATCTTCCTCCTCCTCTGAGAACTAGAAGTGAAGAGAAGAGAAGAGAAGATTGATAGAGATGGATCCTCCGACTGCGCAAAGGATGTCGACGACTGACGATCCTCAAGATGACGCCATTAATGAATGGTAAGTTCTCTCCCCCATCAAATTTTTTCCCTCTTTTTGTTTTTCCGTTTGACTTCGATTTTGATTTTGATTTTTTCTTTGAATCAGTTGCTCTTGTTGCTACGATTGCACTGCTAGCTGCTTAGATTTCTTGTGTTGTTCCTTCCTCTGCGAAAATTAGAAGACGATTTTGATTTCCTTCGAAAGAACATGGACAATCTGAATCATCCGATCTGTTTTCTTCCATGGATTTGATTTTTTCTCTTTTTTTTTTTTTTTTGATATTTGGAAATCCTGATTCATTGCGACG